TTAAAAAGTTGTTTAGAATGAGTATGATGCTTTAAACCAAAGTGTTAATGACTGAAAACCCTGGTTAACATTCAGTCATGTGATTTTTTTTTAAAAACAAACAGTTATCAGAATCAGAATCAGAATATAATTATCATACCAGTATATGCACTTGGCTACCAAAACATGAATAGAGTGTGCAAAAGTATGTGTGTGATGTCATGTCAATAACAACAGAGTGAAAAGAGTCAGGGTTGGGACAAATGTAATTTCCCCTTGTGGATTTATAAAGTATTTCTTAAATCTTTAGTCTTAATCCTAAACAATTGAAAACTCTTTGCTAAGGAAAGGTAGGGAAAGCTTGTGTTCAAATATTCAAAAAGGTCAAGGAGAAAAATGAGCCATCACAATACTGCAGATAGCTGCATGTCCAAAGAAAGTTGCCATTGAACACAAAGTAAATAAATAATTAAATTACGATGGTTTGTGTAGTTATAGTATTCAGATCCTTGACTTACTGTGATTAAAAGTATCAAACATCAATGCAAAGATACTTTTTTTAATGAGTAATATGAGCAATTATTTCCTGTGTTCAAAATCCTACTTAAGTAAAAGTACAGGAGTCTTCATAAAGTATCATATGCTGTCTTGTACCTTGGTGGTACTACAGAATATGTGTTGTGTTTCTACTTGAATCTCTTATTATATCCAAATCTTCTATGTACATAAATGTTTTTTTCTGTCTTTGTGAAGAAGTTTGGTCCAAAACCTGTTTATTTTTGTGTGCTGTATGCAAACATAAAAAGGGGAAACTAACATCACCCTTTTCAAAGTTAGATCTAAACATCAGAGCTAGAGATGCTATGAGATACAAGACCACAGAGATGTGATTAGCTATGATATTGTGATACAATCATGGCGTATCTGCCCCTGAGGTGTGAAAGCATTTAAAGACAATGGTGACCTGATACAGTATCTACTACAGCTGTCGAATGTGTTTGAATGGACTTCTAAGAACTCAGTTTGATTATTTTTCATTATTAACTTCTAGATGGTGACCACAGTGTTATCCAATCTTGTTTATAGTGCTTTATTGAACAGCGAATGGGGGCCAAGATTGTATCAAGAGACTTTAAGCCCCCTCACTGTCCCTGTTGATCCAAAGTGGCGGGACTGCAGGGCCCATTATCTAACAAACATGATAAGCTCCACTGTGCAAGTCACCACAGTAGCTGATTGGTTGGGATATTTCATTTCATTTTTATTTGTCCCGCTCATGGTACGCATAGCCAAATGTACAATAATTGCCAACAAAACATGTCTCTACACACCATTGAGCGAAAAGGAGCAGGGAGAAGAATAAAATCTTATATGACCTGCCCCTTTCTAAAAAAAACAAAAAAAATAAATACAAATAGATGGTCTGCCCTTCATAATAAAAAAAAATGTTCACAGCCACACATAAGAGTACACCCTCATCTGAGTTCTACTGGAGAAGAAGGTGGAAAGCGGCGCCTAATAATAATAATAATAATAATAACAATAACAATTAAAGCTGCAAGCAGCGTTGAGCGGGTCTTCGACGCTCCGCAGGCTGTTGTCCGCACGTCGAGGTGTGTGTCTAGGTGTCTCGAGGACTCGAACGTTGGCAAACGTGGAAAGTTTCAGGCCGATCGGACAACGTACATGGGATTTACAGCAGTATCATAAACATTGTGTTTGATGGCGAGTGATCTGTCGCCATGGCAACGGCATTTGATGACACCCCATAATATGCCTAGATGTGTTGAGGGCTGCATCGTTATCAAACCTGTGAAGTTCTGGGCCGTTTGGACCATGTTAACTGGAGTTATGAGAAAACCGTGTTTCACGGCGACCATTTTGTTACCATGGCAACGGCATTTGACGAAATCTCAAAACTGACACATATATGTCTTTAGGGCTGTACCGTTAGCACACATGTAAAGTTTGAACACTTTTTTACCATTTACACAGGAGTTATACTGTAGCAATATCATGCTTAACGGCGAGGGATGCGTTGCCATGGCAACAGCTTTAGAGGAAAACTCACTATTGTCATATTGAGGTGTTGAGGGCCGGACTAGTAGCCATCATCTGAAGTCTGGTGCAGTTTGGATCATTTTCCATTGACTTAAGACCAGTGGCGTCGCCTGGCCTGGGCATCCGGGGCTTTAGCCCCGAATGTTTTTTCTCTAGCCCCGGACAATTCTCCCTCAATAATATAATACATTAACCGTGCTTTACGTGAACCTCATCATGACACAAGAGAGGACGGCAGCACTGTAATTTCCCGTGTTCAGTGAATGCAACAGAGGCATGACACCAGACCAATCATAGAGTTGCATGGAAATAAACGTGTGCTTGTGTCATTCAAGCTCGGCTCTGTGTGTGTGTGGCAATAGCGCATTTAGTGTGAGAGAGAGAGAGAGAGGGAGAGAGGGGGATGGAGGGACCGGTGCCAGCATGGACCGTGTTGTTAGCATCTGGTTTGCTAGCTGCACTAACGGACATAAGGAGCTGTTTCCACAAGAAGCTGGAGGAGAGTCCTCTCCTCTCAGACTGAGAGACTCAGGTGAGCTAAAGGACTCTCTGAGTGTTTAGATACATAACTTTAGTCTAAGTTATCTCAGTGGGTCTCAAACGGTTTGGTCACAAATTATTCAAAAGATTATTTCCGCGGCACACCTTCATATGATCATTATAGTTATAAAAAAAATAAGAGAATAAAGGAAAAACAGTTATGAAATACTATATGGCAGTAAAACAAGAATAGAGTTTAAAAGGGGAGTGATTAGTAAAATATCCATAAAGAAAAAGTAAATCTGTTTACAGTTCTGCTTCATATGGGTGTTGAGAGAGGTATCCATAGATCTCTTCATTTTGCTCTCAAAGTGCACCAGATTGATGCATTTAACTTCAATATTTAAAAAAAAATCTTCCCGGGGGAGCATCCCCCCGGACCCCCTAGAGGAGGTGAGCCCCCCACTCATAAAAAATACCACTTTACCCCTGCCTATATGCCGTGAGCTGATTATCGAGCCTTCATTGTAACAGTCGCGGGTGTACTGTGTGTGTGTGCGTGTGGGGAGTGTTGCAGTAGAATATTCCACTGTAGTGCCGCCGCCACTGTGGGCTAAGCCCCGAATGTTTTCAGGTCCAGGCGACGCCCCTGCTTAAGACAACATTGTGTTTTTTGGCGAGGGATGCGTTGCCATGGAAACGGCATATGATGACATCCCATAATTGGCGTAGAGCTGTTGAGGGCCGGACCATTAGCCATCATCTGATGTCTGGTGCCGTTTGGACGTTTTTCCAGTGAGTTAGGACAACACAGTGTTTCATGGCGAGGGATCTGTCGCCATGGCTACGGCATATGATGACATCCCATAATTGGCGTAGAGCTGTTGAGGGCCGGACCATTAGCCATCATATGAAGTCTGGTGCAGTTTGGATCATTTTCCATTGACTTAAGATAACACTGTGTTTCATGGCGAGGGATGCGTTGCCATGGAAACGGCATACGGTGAGATCTCAGATTTGTCGTAGAGCTGTTGAGGGCCAGACCATTAGCCATCATCTGAAGTCTGGTGCAGTTTGGAACCTTTTCCATTGAGTTAAGACAACATTGTGTTTTTTGGCGAGGGATGCGTTGCCATGGCAACGGCATATGGTGACATCCCATAATTGGCGTAGAGCTGTTGAGGGCCGGACCATTAGCCATTATCTGTAGTCTGGTGCAGTTTGGATCATCTTCCATTGACTTAAGACAACATTGTGTTTTTTGGCGAGGGATGCGTTGCCATGGAAACGGCATATGATGACATCCCATAATTGGCGTAGAGCTGTTCAGGGCCGGACCATTAGCCACCATCTGAAGTCTGGTGCAGTTTGGACAATTTTCATAGGAGTAACGGAAACATCGGGTTTTTTGGTGAGGGATGTGTTGCCATGGAAACGGCATATGATGACATCCCATAATTGGCGTAGAGCTATTGAGGGCTGGACCATTAACTGTCATCTGAAGTCTGGTGCCGTTTGGAACCTTTTCCATTGAGTTAAGACAATATTGTGTTTTTTGGCGAGGGATGCGTTGCCATGGAAACGGCATATGATGACATCCCAGAATTTTGATGGGCCTAGCATCGAGCGAACGCGAACTTTGGCGCCAAATCACGGCTGCGGTGTGCGAAAGAAAAAACTTCCGTGATAACTTTGAATTGCCCATGTCTGGAGATGCTACCCGACGAATTTCGAGTCGTACGGATAAAGTCCCTGGGAGAAGATAGATTTTGCGCGGAGGACGAGAAACGCGATAAATCGCGTCTTTTCGACGCCAAATTCAAAATGGCCGACTTCCTGTACGTTATTTTGTACCCCTCCAAGAGGCTTTTTTGTTCGTCTCCGCACCCTAGATATGCGTAGCGAGTTTCGTTCGTTTACGTGAAAGTTAAAGTGGGGGGAGTTTACGTTAAAAACGGAAGTGGGCGTGGCCTACGCAATTTTTTACGCAAAGTTCCGGAACCAATTACATATCGCAAGTTGCACCACTTCTGACGCGCGTGCAACATTTGGTGAGTTTTCACATGTGTTGCGGGGGTCAAAGGTTTATCGGTCGCTGCCCGACCGATTTCAATAAGGTCTTCGCCGACCTAGGTCTCAGACCCTAATAATAATCGGACCAATATCAATAATGTGCTAGTTATTTGTCATCAGGGTCAATCATCTTTTTTGATTGACCCTTTTTTAGGAGTTTGTTTAAGATATTTATTTCACTAGTATTACTATATTAATAATACCTTGAGACCACATGCCTCTACACAGGCCCTGGTTAGCCCCGAAGCTAGCAGCAACATGACAGCAGCTTAAGGTGAGCTGACTTTTAAGGTGGACCAGCTTTTCTCATATGAAAGCAATATATTTGTTTTTACTTGAATACATCATTTGCGTTGCTCTTGAGATTGCCATCATATTACACATGGTATTATGACAGAAAACACTCATGAGCAACAAAAACGTAAATTCATAAAGTGCAAAACCTTCACTGTCCTGCAGTAACCTTATACTGAGATTGGATGTTCATAGTGTAAATAGAGTCAAGCCTAAATATAGAGTGCAGTTGGGATAAAGGTCTTCTTGGGCAGATAAGACTCTTTGAGTTCAGATGAAGAAGTGCTGGAGGAGAACTGTGAACATAAGGAACAGCTCCATTCTGGCCAGGTGCTCCCCTAAACACACACGTTTACCTGTCGGGAAACAATAGGCAACAGATTTTAAACTCCAATCTTGATAGCAGGAAATATGTTGGTAGCAATTTGTCTGTAAGCTAGTGGAGGAATATCAAGCAAACCTGCTGAAAATGGTAAGAAGGCGTCTCTTCTGCGAAATTTCCCCTCCGAATCCAAGAAATGCTCCGGATTGAAGGTATCCGGAGTTTCCCACTCATTCTTATCAAACAGCACAGTCGCAAGGATTGTAGTAATAGTTGTTCCCTGGAGAAATAAGCATGAAATGTCACGTTGTGTAAAAATAATGGACAAAACTCAACCTATAATATATGGGCGAGTCTGGTAAATAGTTCTTTACTTTGGGTATTGAGTATCCTCCCAGTGTAGCGTCTTTACTGGCCATTTTTGGGAATCCAAGGGGAACGATATTTCCCATCCTTTGAACTTCATGGATGACAGCTTCCGTGTAAGGCATGTTGGGCTTGTCGGCCATGGTGGGCTGTCGAGACTGTCCGATCACTGAGTCTATCTCTGCCTGGACTTTCTCTGAGTGAGGAGGCAGTCTTTAGACATTATAACCTTAAACAGCACAAAAAACTCTGTAATCTCTGTGAGAATACTCTAAATGCCAATGTGATTCAGACAGATACTAACCCTGTATCTCTGGGTAGTGCATCATGTACATCAGGGCCCAGCGTAAAGTGGTGGCTGATGTTTCTGTACCGGCCTCTATCAGGTCCAGGGTGCAAACCTGCAGGGTTTCAATGTTGAAGCCAGCCTGGGGATCCTCCTTTTTCTGGCAAAGTGTCAACAACATTACATTGATGTTATTACACAGCTTGTGAATACTCAAATCTGAATACTAAAGAACGCTCTAAACTAAGGATGCTGTGCAGTCCTATCAATCCTCAGAAAGAAGTCTGGCCAATTTAATTTCAGCTGTTGCCAAAAAACAGATTTGTCTTCTATCTGATACTCTATCAAAAAACATCATGGAATACTTTTTTATATTCATGTTTATGTAATACTGTATCAGACTATACTAAATATGTGCAAATATCTTACCTTCTCCATCTCTCCCAGGTAAACATCGATAAAATCACGAGGGTCCTCTGGGTTCCACTCTTCCTGGTGCTTCACTACTTCTGATCTCAGGAAAGCCAAGATCTCCTCGTAGTTCTTTAACACAGTCTGGTGAGGTCCTGGCAGGTACTTCAGCACACCAGGGAAGGCATCATACAGCTGTTGATGGGACAAACTCTCAGATTAGTTATAGGCCCACAGCACAGTTTAGTTAAAGTAGAGGAGAAATTACCTGAGTCTGAGGTAAGCCAGCTAACCTAATAGCCTCATTGTCCAAGTCCAGAATCCTGCGGAAGCTTTGATCGCTGTACTCAAAGCGATGTCCGAAGAGCACAGACGAGATGATGTTACACACTCCATTCGTTATGATGTAATGGGGGTTAAATGGCCTTCCTGGGAATATGTTGAATTAAAGTAATGATATATCATGTTAGGATATAAAATCACTCTACATAGCAATCTCTACTTGCCTTGTTCCTCTTTGAAAGCTTCACAGATGTAGGTGTTTTCCACCTCAATGTATTTTTCCAGGGACTTCTGGCCCTCTCCAAAGTAACGCAGGTGAGTGTTGGCAAACTTCCTTTGCTTTTTCCACAAGTACCCATTGCTCAAAGCTATACCTGTGGGACAGTTGTAGCAAATTAACAAAGCAAACAGGCAATTCACTGCCTTTACAGATTTTAGATATCACTTCTGAGCACCTTTCTTGAAAAGAAACACTTTCTTTCACTCCCTAATCTGTTGTTGTGCAGTGTTGTTGTTGCACAGAGGGGAGAGTCTATTCTGCATGGACCACAGACTTTGTCCCATGTGAGTTGGCTTACTGGGCTATGACTTTTGGTTAAATATTTTGATACTGCGTAAAGAGATTAAGTTCTGCCCTGGAGAAGGCAAGCCACTACTGCAATACTTTTGCATGCTATTAAATATTCAGGCTTTCTCACTCTCGTTCAGGTATACTCACCAATCCCCTTAAAGACAGCATGGAAAAGAGGAAAAATAGGTCTATCAATAAAGCTGTCCAGCTGGATAACAAGAGCCTCTTTGACCATCTTGTACCCGGAAACAAACACCATCCTCTGGCTGCCTATCCTCAAGCTGAACACTGGACCATACTCCTGAGAGAGCTGCATTCAAAAACAAAAGCATTTTTTTAGTTGCAAGCTTTTATTGTTTATTTATTGTTATTTCCAGCCTATAGTGTTGCAAAGGCTTATTTATGAAAGACACATTGCCTGTATGATATTAAAGATCAACTTGTGTCCTCTAATCTGTTCACCTTACCTTCTCCATTGCTTTGAAGTCAAATCCTATCAAGATATTTCCTAGAAAAGGCGCAGCCCAGGGTCCAGGGGGAAAGCTGTTTGGTCTCCAGTTTCTGATCACATCTGTCAGGAGTAACACTATAAAACTGATCAACAGCCAACTAGTGAAGTCCATACACTCAAAAAGGGCTTGAAAAATCATGATGAAAATGTTTAAAAGGACCCTCTGTAAACTCAGTTTGCTCCTGCAGGCATGGTCCGTCTCGTGTTATTTGGCTGCGGGTTGTACGCGGCAGAGGGGAAAAAAAGTCTCAACAAGGAAATGTTACGTAACACTGAGTGTCTCTCTGGACATCTTCCAGCAGGGGGATTGTGTTTGCTCTGTGTGTTGTGGACAAAAGGGGGACTTTTAATAGTTTGGGCGAAAACTAAAAGGTACCATGGGGTCAGATTAGAATTTTCCAAAGGGGGGTTCGTTTAGCATGAAACACTTGAAATAACTAAAGGACAAGTTAAACAAGAAAGTAGAAAGAAAGGGAGGTGATAGAAAACTATTTCTGCTAAAAAGTTAGCAATGATTGAGAGTCAGACCTAAACATTTCAGATGTGTGTATCTCACACTGCACTGTAACTTTTATTCATGTATCTTTGCAAGTACACAATCCCAAAGGTCCAAGAGGCACACGTGATAAAGAATTTATTTATTTAGCTTTTTGTTTGTTTTCAAAAATTAGATTTCCGTGCCCATTGCTTATAATCCGTCAAACCGGTAATTAAACTACGAACTACAAAATTAAATTAAAAAGTAAACCAAATCTGCAAGTTTCTTTTTATAATGCAATACAATACAACATTAATATGATTTATTACATATTTTATGTCAACAGATTACACATAATTGTATTAGGTATCAAATCAGGATTATTTAATTGCCAAGTAAGTTTTCACATACATGAAATGTACATCCTACATAGACAGAGAGAGAGAGAGAGAGAGAGAGAGAGAGAGAGAGAGAGAGAGAGAGAGAGAGAGAGAGAGAGAGAGAGAGAAAGAGAGAGAGAGAGCGAGAGAGCAAGTATAGAATTGTTATAACAATTATTATAACATTTAAAAAAATGCACAAAAACACTTTATAAAAAAGCAAAATACAGTTACGATATCACATTTTACTGTGAAATATACAGTATGTAAAAGTTGAAGAGCTGTGCAGTTTTAAAGTGGTTGCATTGTGCACATCTGTGCAAAATATATAGATATTGGCTTGTTTTGCACTTTGCACATGGTTCCCCTAAATCAGTTGTCTTTTTTTAGTCAATCCTTTAACGTTGTCCAGTTTGAGAAAGATAAAGAAATGTCCTCCTTCCTTTTTACTCCACATTTTATTTTTGTATTTTTTCTGCAACTTGTTTACATAAATAATAGTGAGATTGAGTTTGTGTTCTGATTCAGAGCGCTGTGTTCATGTTCACACTGTGGTTTCAGAGGTTTTGCAGGTGAGAAAAACACTTCAATGAGTGCAGTGAGTCAGTGCTGTTTATCTACCTGATTGTTTGATGTGTTGAATATAATTTGTCTAGCAGAAACCAGGACTTTAATCCTTTGATGTTTTTTATATGTCAGTTCTTAAAATGAGCAAAGAAGAAGCTTAAGGTCTCTTTTATCTTCACATCTGGGTTTTCCATGTCAAGCGTTTTAGTTAAGAGATGGAAAATAACCAGCGAAAGGAAATCATGTAAGCTTGAGAAAGTCTCAGTCTCACAGTCAACACCCTGGCACTCCGATGGACTTTATACAGAAGCAAACACCTTAATGAGAAAGGTTGGGGTGATTTTTTTAATGTTTTTTAATGCGCAGTGACCTCCTTCAGGATTAAAGTGTACGTTTATTTTACAAACCTAACTACCTAAAAGGCATATCATCTTTAAGTTCTGTCAGTTCAGGGACAGCAGTGAATTATACTTAAATAAACATGTATTGACTGTGTATCTTGCCATTCATAAGCACATTTTAAGTAACTATAAAAAGAAAGGGTCTACACTAACAGAAACAAAGCTAATGAGGTCATCATCTTTTTTCAAAGTAAAAATTGAGGTCATGCAGTGAGTTACATTTTGAGTTGATCACCTATTTTATCTGCCAACAGCAGCACGTTTTATTGCAGGTTCTCAGCAATCTTCCATCTGAACCTTTGTGGGGATGAAAACAGGTAACCAAAGTAGAGCATCAAAGTACTGAAGCTACTGTTCAAAGTTTCTGGGTTTAGCAAAACACCACCAAACTAGGTCAGTGGCCTCTTTAAGATGTTTCTTTCAACACAGGATAGATCATTTTATTCAGAAGCATTGCTCAAAGCAAGTCATCTGAGGAAGACGACATGAACGCTCAAAATGTGTTGGATATATCCTGATGAGAAAACCCTAAAGGCACACAGACGCCATTCAATTCTGGTGAGTTCTTTCTTACCCTATCAACTCATGTAACTTGAAGGTGTTTAGGGTTTCTGATAGAGTGTAACCCATTTTTTGTAAATGTATAAAAAAAAAAAACATCATAACATTAATCTGGCTGCTACTTAGGAATTATTTATCTAATATATCATTCCAATCACTTTCACTATTTCACTATTTAACTATTTACTATTTTTCCTTTTGTATTTACTATTTACTTGCGCTATTTTTTTCTGTTTATCTGTTTTATTGTGTTGCACTGTTGGAGGAGCCTGTGCCCTAAGATTTTCATCGTCGTAACTACACTGTAGCTATGCACATATAACTAATAAAAGCCTTGAACCTTGTTTTAGAAACGTCTTTAAAAATCTAAAGTTCAAATTTGACGTAATGTATTTTAATCTCAGTCAGATCGCAGAATTACACAGGATATACAAAGACCTTTTGGTCTTATCTACCATGGTGCGTGTGTCAAACACTGTCTCTTCCTCATATCAGCCAGAAGATCCTCTGCACACAGACTGCTGAATGGCTGAGGGTAAGTTTTAAAGGTCACTTATATTTAGGGAAATTCCCACTGACTGATTTTTACCAAAAAAGTATTTGGTGATTTATAATAAAACAATTTTTTATTTACAGCTGCTGAGTCTAAATGAGAATAAATGCTGCAATGAATCTCTCCTCCACGCTTTGGAGGATCCTCATTGTTCTTCTCTGTTTTTCCATTAACCGTGAGTATTACAGTTAAAATACATCCATCAATGCTATCACTATTGACTTGTTAATGTCTGTTAGAGCGCACTCCCTGATTTAGTCAGAGGTAGCACAACTTGGTAGCTTTTGTGGTTTCGCTCTCTAAACCCTGTCTTTGCAGCTCTGACCTGAGTGGTGAGCTTAAAATAATTTCGATATATTTTGCATTACAATTAAATAATCATTGGAAGACACACTTCTTTGTCTTAAACCTTTCCTGGGATGTGTTATTACAAAGAGAAAGAAGAAAGAAAAGATCACATTCCTGCATTTTAGAATTTAAACATGTTTACTGTATTGCAGGGTTTAAATGAACCAACACTTACTTTGAAAATTCGTATAATTGCTTGCTTTGAATAGTACTGCTATGTAAACCTCTGCATCTGTGTTTTTTGAACATGTTTTCCTTTGCTCCCAGTTTGCAGCTCTCAAATGATTCTCCGGGGCTTCCTGACAGTGAAACCAGCTAAACTCTTCCTCATCGGCTCAAACCTGACAGTGTACTGCCACGCCAACAAATGTGAAAAGGGGTACGAATGTTAGACATCATTTTATAGCCTACAATACAATATGACTTATTGTCTTCTGTACATGCATCTTTGTATACAGTTAATTATGTAGAAAGTATTAAAATGCAGTTATGTTATTGTCCTCCAGTTTCAAATTGTCCCTGGAGGTGGATGGCGAGACTGTGACTTCTTCCAAGAAAGTCAACTGCTCCACAGCGATATTCGATCTGATCAATGTCCGGACGCCATTTCCTTCAGTGGCGTGCATGCTGAAGGCCACACACTCTTCTAAGAATGTCGCTGGAGGGGACCTTAAAGGCGGGCGTATGTACAGTTGTCTCTGATGTCAACAGTACATTCATGTATAATGTGTGAATTACAGCAATATTTTCTAAAGACAATATCTGTCCAACTCAATTAAGCTGCATTCACATGACACGCAAATTTCTCTTTACTCACTGTAAAGTTTTGCGTTTAGAGCCTTGCGGTGAAAACAGCCAGTACGTTTAGTTTCTACGGTTGCGTTCACTGCTACATACAGCTGTCCTCTGATTGGTTGTACGTTGAAAGGTCAGCGGTAAACGAGGTCAAAGTTTAAGAAGCTCTGCGACTATTTCGAGAGGTGCATTAAGCTACATTCACATGATACGCACATTACGCAGTCTGCTCTTTGCTCACTGCAAGGTTGGGTGCAGAGCCTTGTGATGAAAACAGGCAGTTCGTTTTGGCAGTTTAGTTTCTGTGGTTAGCTAGCTTGCGCCACTGCTTACAGCTTTCCTCTGATAAGGTCAACAAGGTCAAATTTGAAATTAATAGAACTTTGAAAGCAGAGCTTGGCAATAATTTAGAGTGGTGCAAAAAACGCATAGGATGGTGCTTTCGCCTAATCGGCCCGCAAAGGTTTCTCCAAACACAACAGCAATGTCAGCGGTGCCGGTATCGTGTGAACGCAGCTTTTTGTTGCTAGGTAGTTTTGAAGGACAGGGATGCTATTTTTCTTAGTTTTAAGCAATCGGAGATGCAAGAAGACTAAATCCATTTGTCTTGAGGTAGGAATTAAGGTAGACATGTTCAAGATACTATATGTCAAACTCCTATTTACTTATTTTAACCCTTGTGATGTGCAGCTGTCATAACAAAATAGTTAAATTAGCATGTCCAAATATATGAAGTATACCAACCAAAAAGGTGAAAAAAGCATAAACCGGGACACCCTTGAAAACGAGATGGTGCATCTCAAGGGGTTTATCCTAATAAATACATTTCTATATAAATATATATATAAAAACGTATTCTCAAAATGTTAAATTCAAATTATCTTTCCGTCTTAAATGTTGAAGTAACTGTACAACTTTGATATGATTTGGTATGATATGAATATTTGATATGAATATATGAATATTTGATATGAAGCTCCCATTATTATCTTTTGGAAAAGTAATAAAAAAAAAATTGTGTGACGGTTTAAAGGACATATTTTTTGCATTTCCAAGCAGGCATACAAAAATGACAGTGCTTTTAAAAATATGTTTCTATTTTGTTTCCCATCCCCTGTACTTGAAGTCCCTCCAGATAAACCTGAAAACATA